GGGCTGAAAACAAGAGGATCACTACAAGTCCGATCTACATAGTGAAACCCTGTATATCCTGTCCTAACTTAAAAAAAAAAAAAAAAAAAAAAAAAAAAAAAATTAAAAACTTCAAGCATTAATAGAATCTTAATATCTTTCTATAAATACCATATTTATAAAGTATTCTTGTCCAAAGTTTAACTTGAATTTATCAGTGTTTAGATTTAATTTCCAGTTTGCGAGAAAGATACAGGGGATAGTGTAACAAGTTAATGGACACCATAAGGAAACAATCAGGCAGACCTAGAAGGTGGGGTAGCACTTTGGCATCTCTTCAGAAGGTGTGCAGGATGAGACAGAGGGCAAGGGGTTGAGGATGGGCAGGGGAGCTTCAGAGGTAGAGGAAACCTGAGGCATACAACAAGGAGAGCAACTGTGATTCCTGATTGGATCCTGGCTTGGGGTAATAAGAAAACACAACTATAAAATATCTCTGGGAGACAATTAGGAAATTTTGAATAAGCGTTGAGTATCAGAAATACTGTTACTGGGTATATAATGGAAAATCAACAATTTTTCAGGTATAACAGTGCTACTGCAGCAACATAAGAAAAGAGCCTCCTTTTTTAAAAGACGTGTGCTGAAAATTTGGGGATGGAAATATGGTGTCTAAATGCTTTGAAGGAGAGTAAGAAATAGAATAACGAACTGATAAATAGAGTTAACGACAAAATAGTGAGACCCATTGGGTCTGGGCTGTGGATCTATGGGTGCTGGCGCACAGTCCTTCCACTTTCCTCTATGGCAGAAAATGTTCCTAAGATAATGTTTATAAACAATAAGCTATGACGTTCTCACTGAGCTGCGTCCCAGGAGCCAGGCGCACCTACTCCACACCTGTCAGCTCCAGTGACATGCCCGCCCCCACCAGCCCCTGCCAGCTCTCACCTCGATGAGGGCCGCCTTCTCGCGGTCCTCCGACCGCTTGGCACTGTCCAGCTCATCGTGCATCTCCGAGAGCTGGTCCTGCAGATCCCGGATCTCCGTCTGGTGCTGCTCCCGCTCCATCTTCACCTGGAAGAGCCTGGCAGGAGAGGCAGCCGTCAGACCCTTCACCCTTCTGACCTGACTGTGGGGACCCACAGAGAGAGCTAAGGCCCCAGAGCCCCATCTCCGTCAGGGAATGCGCTGACCAAGGAATCGCCAGCCTGCTAGGGCCTCTGGTAAGAGTTAATCCGCCCAAGACATCAGACGAGAGCCCAAACCAGCAAAACGGGAAAGGTTATGAGAACATCTTCTCCCCAAAGGAAAACGCAGGAAGATGAGAAAATCACACACACACACACGTGCACGCGCGCGTTGTCAACACCCAAGCCACTACCCTCACCATGCCCTGGCATTATGCTGTAGACCAAGACAGTCAGGACATCATGGCCCCTGGGGCTGATGCAGCTTAGGCAGGTTTCTACAGCTTGGGCAGGGCTAGGGAGCATGCTCACATCCAGTCACCTGTGCACCACCGTGGCCTCGTGGCCTCAGCAGCGACACCAGCAGGGCAGAGTGACCGCGGCTGACTGCGCTGCCAAAATGATCCAACGGGGAAAGGCTTGCAAACCTCCGACCCAAGCCACATGTGAAACACCTTTAACTTTTTAGCTTGAAAGTTCTTTCCTAGACCCTTGACTTTGATTTGTTTTCCTAACTTATTTTCTGAAATTAACCCCTATGAAGGTTTTATTTTCCTTATTTTTAAAGTTTTTGTCTTTTTTGTACATGTTTGTAATACATGTAGTTTACAATCTGAGGGAATGCTTATAAGCACATACTAAAGCTTGCTTCTTTTTAAACCCCTTTCTGCTTGCTCCTCCCCCTCCTCTATCCCATTTTTCATTCATGTTGAGATGTCTGTCTCACATTATATAAGCTTTACATTAACTGGCTTATTAGGTTCCTGTACTTGGTGCACTTTTATCCAGTTATCTCCCCTTCCTGTCCTCCTCACTCTGTGTCCTGCTCCATTGGACCACTTTTTCATTATCAACAAATGTTTTAAAAGCAGAAACTCCACCAGCACAATCACAAAGATTGCTGGATTTGTATTACATAAAGTCTTAGTTTCTCTGAATTTATCCCTGAGATCTACTCCAGCTTGACCTCTCATAAACGTGTCTGTCACATCCACAGGGTGTCACAGCATGGTGCATTTCAGACTCTTGGCCAGAAACTTTAACAGAATACAGTGGCAGGCAGCTTGGGCCTGACATGCCTTCTCTGCTGACTGAGGCCAGCACCATCCAGGAGAAAATTCAAAGCTGGGAGACCAGTGAGCCCATGATGCATGCTTGGTAGAGGCGGAGCTGAGGCTTCTGGCCTCTGTCCTCAAGTGCCTCCTCTCAGTGTCCCCAATTCTGACCTAATTTCCATGAGATCCACTTTAAGGGGCAACACCTTACAAGAATTTTACAAAGAATTTTAATAACTATCCGCCTTCCCATAACTGGCTGCAACTGTTACCTACTTCACAGCATCACAGGGACGAGAGGGAAAGGAAGGGCATGCAGTCTCAGGAATGTCTGGAGGGCTGCAGCACCAGGACTAGAGACCTGGCTGCAAGCAGTACGAGGACAAGGAACCTGACCGCACGCAGTACAAGGACAAGGGACCTGGCTGCACGCAGTACGAGGACAAGGGACCTGGCCGCATGCAGTACAAGGACAAGGGACCTGGCTGCATGCAGTACGAGGACCCAGCAGGGCAGGGCTTGGTCACTCACTCTTCCAGGCTCTTCCGGAGCTCGGCCTCGCTCTCCTCTAGGCGCTGCTGCAGTGGGGCGCTATCTTCCACCCGCCTGTCCAGTTGGCTCCGAAGCTCCTCCAAGTCAGCTCTCAGGCGCTCTCTCTCTTTCTGTATGTTCTGCTGGTTCTAACATGAGTAAGTCAAGGTGATGTTAAAGTCCTTCCACTGCATGTTCACGTGACTCCATGGCAGCCCCCTTCTGCACTCCGAGGAGCTCTTTTCTGCTGCACTTACTGCATTGAATGTGCAGTACTGACTCACTATATTAAATGACTTAATCAAATTATACACCTAAGGCATAAGAGTATAGAACTATAAAGAACATCAAATATTTATGTTTAATGAATTGATAATACTCCCAAAAAACATAGTTGAACTACTGTATATAGTGGGTGGCGCCAGACCCTGGATGGATAGAAGGGGAAGGGAAGGTCGCTGCTGGCTGCTTCTTGCTCGCCCTGGCACGGACTCCTTCTCCTCTAGAACGTGCCCCGGCCGTGCTGCCCAGGCTCGGGGCCAGTGAGCTGCGGGCTGATAGCGCTACGAACCGTGAGCTGAAGTAAACGCTTCCTTCTTTAGTCTGTGGGTGCCAGTTATCTTGTCCCAGCAACAAGAAAGTATCTAAGGGCCAGGGAGAGAGCTCAGTGCATAAGTGCCTGCCTGGCAAGCACAAGGTCCTGAGTTTGATCCCTAATTAATACCAAAACAAAAAAGAAAGACTACCCAAGACAGATTTAAATGTATAAGAATGTTTACTTTTTAAAAATTCATTATAGTAAAAGACACATTGCTATCAACCTCTTCAGGATATGCCTCCTACTCTGACCACGCTTATCCCATGGTCCTGGCCACTTCCTGGACCTGCTCCAGAAGTCCTCTTTTGTGAGCATCTGTACAAAATGTGACGAGAAACGCCGTGAATGCTGGTGGTGAGCAGAAAGGGACACCTGTACACACAGCATAGTGCACCTTACGATCTGGCGCTGCGCACCTTCCAGTTTTTTTCCCCAAAGTCAAAATGACCATGAAAGGTAAACATTTTTAGTAAGTGCAGGACACTGAGGCAGCCATGACAAGACACTGTCCAAGCAAGCAAGTTCCCTATGCTTTGGTTTCTTTAAAAAAGAAAAAAAAATTCTTTGGATAGCAGCAGCCAAGTACATAGGAATGTACTCAGTGCTTAAAGGAATGTTTCTTTTGGAGGAAAAAAATTGGCTTCCCTTCACCTGGGCATCCCAATGTACTTAAAATATTATCTACCAAGACTGAAACAGAAAAGGATAAGAAGAAAATCGGATACCTTGACCTCTAGTTGAAGCTGCTGCTGAAGTTCAGCCACTTCTGAGGTCAACTTGTTTTTCTGTTCCAGCAAATCTTTGACTTCAGATGAGGAGTTAGTAGTCTGGGATTAAATGCAAATACATTCTAATTTAAATATCCATAATACTTTAGCTCAACCCTCTTCCCCCAAATATAATCCGAGTTATAGCACACGAGCACAACACCACCTTAAGACTCAAGTCAAGTACCACCTCCTACAGAACTCTCTGAATTCGCAGGCAGTCGGTCACGCCGGGCCCTGGGCCGGTGAACCTTATCTGACATCATTTACCAGTCATGGGGGTTATGCCATCCGACTTCTCAGTATCACTCCAGGATACAACTAAAATTTGGATGAGTGATGTATTTGTTAGAAGTCCTTTAAGTAAGTACTCTGTAGGGTAGTATGAAATATGAGGGTATTAAATTTAATACAGGGCTGGTGAGATGGCTCAGTGGTCTAAAGCACCTACTTAGAACAAGCTTAGCAAAGCAAAGGGACCGCAGTTCAATCCCCCAGCACCACATGCCAGCCAGCCCCGCCCCCTGGTGGGCTGAGCTGGCCACACACACACACACACACACACACACACAAATAAATTTTAAAAAAATAAATAAATTTAATACAAGCAAACTTTAATAGCTTCTCCTTAATAAAACCTCCATTTCGGTCCACAGAAATCACTGATTAAGTCAAAAGTCAGCAACAAAACACTTTTGTAGGTAAGTTGAGAGAGAAATATTCATTTTTCTTCATCAGTGGCAGAACGCACTTTAGCTTCAGTGTTTCTGAGCAGCCTGAGAATTTCTACCCCAGATTATGCGCGGGGAGGACAGAGCCACATTTCAGTTCCTCTTCCTAGCTGCAGAACCCAGCACCACGCCTACATTCAGTGAAATCTCAGTTAATGATTTCTGGAATTCCAGTTCTAGTTATGACAGAGTACTTGACCTCAGATTTACTCTCCCAGGAAAAGCCAGGAGAGCCTGACAAAATATGTAAGATAACTGCAGGCACTGACAGGGCTCGCTGTAACCGGGCGTGTGTGCGCGCTTGGGGTGGAACGCAGGGCCTCACACCCACAAGTCAGGTGCTGTGCTGCTGAGTTACGTCCCCAGCAGGATTAAGATCTCTGAAAAGGGAAGAGGTTGTGCTCCATCCCCCCTGGGCTCCCCCGACCACACTCCCAAACCACAGTATTTGAAGAAAATATTTGGAAATTACTAATTGAAACAATAAAATATCAGAATATCCAAAACCCAGAGTACTAAAAACACCCACAGCGGGCAAGGTCACAGAACGATGAGACTGTGATGAGGCTACGCTTCACTGCTGGACGAAATGAAGAGCGGTGCATCGCCTGGGAAGTCTAGTCGCTTCTTACAAACACAAGTGTCATCGCCATGAGTCCCAGCAGTGACGTTCCTCAGCACGGCACAGTGAAAAGGTCCACTCGCACAGAAACCTGCGCGTGGACGGTTACAGAACCTTTGCTCACAACCAACAGTATTTGAAAGCAACCATGATGTCTGTAGCAGGTTAATGGATAAACTGTGCAAAGTCAAGCGATACTGCTCAACACTGAAAATGAGTGGGCCACCTATCGCACCATTAAAAGGCACAAGAGAAACGCATATTCCTAAGTGAAAGCGGCCACTAGGAAGGGCTGTCTGATTCCAAATTTATGACATTCTGGAAAACGGAATTTCAAGACAGCAAAACTGCTCCACGTGATACTAGGAGTGGAAACGTCACCGTTTATTGAGCCAAGCTGAAAGAAAACGCAGAACCAAGGGCAAACTCCATGTGAACGAGGGACATGGGCCACAAGGCTGGTTCTGCGCAGGTCCACTGATGACAACAAATGGACTGCTCACTCTGGGGGAGCCACGTGGGGGCGAGCACATGTGGGGTCATGTGGAGACAGTGCTTCCATTCGCCCTTCTGTGGACCTCAAGCTTCTCTGACAAACATGTCTGTTAATTAAGAGGGAGAAAACTCCCAATGGAAAGAGGCAGCTCCCTGGTGCAGGAGGCAGACAGTGTTTAGCGACAGTGAGCAGAGAGGTCTCAGGGTTAGGATCCTAGGGAGGGACAGCCCCACAGAAGCAGCGCCAAGACCCTAGGAGAAAAACATCCCTGGACCCTTGCATGGCTCCTAGGCTGCCTGATGATCAAGGAGAGACTCTGAGGCCGGCAGCACCAAGCTATAAGGAGGCAAAGAAACCAACAGAAACCTCGGACTGCACAAAGCTAGGGGGCACCAGGTTCCAACTCAGCCAACAGTGAGAAATCCTGGTGGACCCTTCGCCATTCATTTAAGACCCAAGAAAAGAATAAGGGCAAAATTTAGGTTTTCCCACTCACGAGCAAGGCCTCAGACAACCAAGCGCATGGGCTGAAGGTCACCCCTAGATCATTTAAATGACTAAAAACTCTCCACATTCTTGAGAGATAAAACAACCCAGGACAGGAGAACTTGTCACCCAGAGATGACCCAGGCACGGAAGTCAGCAGATAAGAACTTCAAAAGAAATAGAGAATAGTTTTTAAACAGTAGAAACCATGGACAAAATGGATGTCAAGATGATTTTCCACACACACTTGGACTCCACAAACATAACAACATGGAGAGGGAGTGGGGGAAAGAGACACATGTATGTATGAAGAGGATGGTTTGGACAACTGTACTGTGGATTTCTGCTGGTCTACAGAAAGGAGTAGATAATGCTTAATATATTTTTTTGTTTTTTTCAAATTTTTTTTCTTTTCCTCTCTTTCTTATAATTGTTTTTCTTTCTTCTTCCAATTCTGTGTGCATATATCTGATAATACGAACAACTCATTTGAAGACAACACCATGCAATATGACAAATACTGTCAGATTCATATTATTTTGTTTAGTGAAATTCTGTATCATTTGTAATTTTTTCTGTTTAATACTATTTTATACTCTCTCAAAAAATAAGAAAATTAAAATAAATAAAGTAGCAATACCTGAAAGTGAAGAACTCATTAGATTTAAAGAAAGAATCAGCCTTAAAGGAAGATAAGGGAAATTCTTTTTATTTTTTTGAAGATTCAAACAAGATTAATAATTTGATTTTTTTTTTTTTTTTTGCAGAACCAGGGATTGAACTCGGGCCCTTGTGCTTGCCAGGCAAGTGCTTATGCTACTGAGCTGAGCTGCCTCCCAGGCCCCAGATTAATAGTTTGAAGGGTCAATAGAAAATCTACAGAATATCTGATGCATCAGAGGTGACACACGCATTGCGCACACCCCCAAAGCCCCCAAACACACATGCCAAACATGTGGCCACATGCACCAACAGGAAGCACAAGGTATCCAGGTTTTCATCCAGAGCTCTAGACATATAACAAGAACCTGAGAAAAGCTGAGAGAATATGGACAAGAAGCAATATGCAAAGAAATAATGGCCAATCATTTTCAAATCTAATGAAAGCCAACAACCTATCAATTCAAAAATACCAGGAACCTCAGGTAAGATAAATACATGAAAAGCCACACTTAAGCACATTATAATTAACTTCAAAAAATTGATGACAAAATGTTCCAAGCAGCCAGGAGACGAAAGACGCCTCAGGTCCAGGACGACAGGAAGACAGAGCCTGGCTTCCAGGGGCCCCGAAGGCCAAGAGACCAATCAGTTCTTCTAAAGTCCTGAAACAAAACAAAACTTGATTGCGGACTTTCCTCAAAAAGGAGAACAAATGAAAGACATGATCAGACAAACACTAAACTAATGTACTGCAGGATATAATAGGAAAATTCTCCAGGATGGCAGAAAAAAGGCCTAAGTGGGAACACTGAGGGACCAAGGCTGCAGAGCACCGGGGGACCCTGCTGGAGGAGGTGGAGAGGAAAACAATGAGCAGGAAGCTCAGGCCGGCGTGGAGAACACCAAGAATGCTAGGACGACATCGATACATGGGGTACAATCCCAATCAAAATTCCCGAAGGTTCTCACCCCCTCTTGATGGAAACCGACCCTTGATTCTAATGCCTATGTGGAAAAGCAAAAGACCTGGAATAGGCAAGGCAATCTTAAAGAAGAATAAAACCAGAAAACAAACATGACAGTACTAGATTTCAAGGCTTATTCTAAAGTCACGGCAATTAAATCTGCATGGCTGTCACACAAGGAGAGGCCAGTAGACTAGCAGAGGCGAAATATTTGAGAAAACGGAACAAGTGGAAGCAGAACGCACCGCGGGAGGAGGCACAGCGTGAATTGTTCCACTTTCTAAAACCACTGGCAACACTGAAGGGCCAAACTAGGATACGTCTAATAGTGACTAGCTATGTCCCCCCCCCAAATCACAAACACAACACTCCCCATAGCAGCTTTTTTCCCAGTAGTCCCACTGGAAATGTCCACAAAGAAGACACTACGGTGATTGCTGACACAGTGGGAAACTCCAGATCAATAAAATAGTTTCCGGGCAACAACAGAAGGGTATCTCACTGACACGGTGTGGAGGAGACGAAGCTGCATGCGCGAGAACACAGCCAGCACCCCTCACTTAAATAAATTCCAAGAAAGGAAAACCTAAGAAGATGATAACCTCCTGGAAGAGAGGGCAGGACTCTGGAGAAGCCCAGGAAGCCGGGGTGGCAGGCATGCGGCTCCTGGTCTGAGTGGCATTTGATGGGTGCCAAGTGAAAAGTCCACTCGAGTGTGCAGTTAGGAACTGTGGGACTGACCGTGTATTGCACCCCAATAAAACAGCGTGAAAGTAAGTATCTCCTGAGGACACACCTGTGACCTGAAGTTGTTGCACCCAAAGCAACTCAAAGGGACTCCTGCTCTGTTACTGCCATCGAGGTTGTCACCCTCACTCTGCCTTCTGCCTGTGCCCATAAGCAAGCAGTGAAAGTTTGGGGTTTTTAATTGTTGTTGTTGGTGGTGGTGGTGTGTGTGTGTGTGTGTGTGTGTGTGTGTGTGTGTGTGGAACCGGGGATTAAACTCAGGTCCTTGCACTTGCCAGGCAAGCGCTTATTCTACAGAGCCATCTCCCCGGCCCGCAAGCAGTGAAAGAAACGTGTTTTCTAAGCTAAACTGGCTTCTTAATGTTGCATTTCTGTGCTGAAGAGAAACATGATCAAGAGGACAAAGAGAGTCTATTAGAAAATATCTCTGATCGGAGTATGAATATTAACAGGTCTCATTTTTCTTCTTCCCTGGAAATAACAGTATTTGGCTAAAATCCCACCGTAAAGTGCTTAGATAACCGCAGATAGGTGACAGGAGGAGACAGACAGGCATCAAAGCGTAAGAGGCAGCGTCTTGGCTCGGATGTCACGCAACCCAGGTGCAGGCTGTGTGTGATAAAACCTCCCTCCATCCTCGGCAGTATGAGAACCGAGGAGCAAAAATGCAGGACTTGCAGAGTTTTTTTGGCAAAATGAGAAAGATCCATTGTAGAAACCTAAGTCCCACCCGGCAGGGGAAACCGTACATGGTTCTGTCCCCCAACAAAACCCCTCCTGCTTTGCCATTTCCTGAGAATAGGGAATCATGTCCCAGGCACCAGACAGATAAAGCTCCAGAACCCCCGCCAGCAAATAATCAGATGCAGAACGTGAGCCGGAGAGAAGGTGGTAAAAGCCCAAGGGCAGTTAAAGTCAGAGCTGCAAGCCAGCCTCGTGCCGTGTTCGTCCCTGCTCGGCCCGGCAGCAGCTTCCTAGCAGCCCTCCCTTCCTCCAATCTGCCCTCCCGCCAAAAGCTAGAAGAGAAGCAAGAGTGTACAAATGTAGTAGGCAGACGCAGCCGTGTCAGCGCCGCGCCATAGCCCACCCCCTGCTCCGACACGGGAACGTCTCATCCGGTCGCCATTTCCTTCCTACCTGGCTGCTCCTGCCACCCCTGATGCTATGTGCTGGTGACATCAGATGACCCCAGTCCTGTCCCTTCGTGCTGCTCCTTGACCTTGAGCACCCTGCCTTCCGTCTTCTCACAGAGAGGTCTACCATGCTTTGAGACACCATTGACAAGTGTCACTGTGCCAGGGAGGCTGCTCGGACGTCCCCAGGGTGAGCTGGCTGTCTAGGCTGTCACCACCACAGTGACAGCTGTCACATCAAGGCCCAGGGCCGTGCTCTCCCTGAGAGCACTAAGTAAGCAAGAAACAGAAAGCAGAGATAATTTGGACTGAAGAGTTCTAACCAATAAGCAGCAAACTGACATTAAGGGCTAAGTAGCCCTCCTCGCAGGAGCAAGGGGCAGGAAGGCCCTAGGAAGCCCGGCGGGACTGTGGAGTGCTAGCTCCTCTTTCCCGCCATGCAGAGCTCTCCCAGAAGGGAAAGGAAGCTACACTACCAAGACCGCGTCCTGCTGTGTGGCACAGGATGGAGGAGCAAGCATTCAGCTCCCCCCTCTGAAGTGCCGTGTGGCTTCAGGCCACAAACTGTGCTGGCCCTGGGAGGTCAAATACGAGATCGCTGCTCATTCAACCAAAACATCCACAAGCCCAACTCGTGCTCAGCAAGTCCATAAAGCGGGCAGCTCAGGAAGAGCATTTGTGACCTCCCCACTCCTCCCTCCCCACACGCCTGGCTTCACCAACTTCGGTCTTCCTTCATGGTGGTGATGGAGGTGGTTGCTGTGGTTTGTGGTTTTTGGAGATGGGGTTTCACTACATAGTCCAGACTGACCTTGAACCCACTGGATCCTCCTGCCTCAACCTTTTAAGTGCTGGAAATCTGTATTCCTTCACACCTGACCTTCCCACTCCACCCGAGCCTGCTGACACCCACATGAGCCTGTAGCAACCTGAAATTCTCCACCCATACGTTAGTTTCGTTCTTCCTACTTTGATCTTTCCCTTCTAAATTTCACTATTTATCATCCTATTACATTTATGTATTATTTAAATATCTTGAAACATCTCTAAAAAAAAAAAGTACAAATTCAAAGTATTGGTCAAGTACCCCTCAGCCAAGATGCCTGACACCAGAAGTATTTCAGATGTGGGGCTTTTTTTTTTTTTGGTAGGGGTGGAATATTTACATATACATAGCAAGATATTTTGGGAACCCGAGTCAAAACATGAAATTCGTTTACACCCTGACACACGACCCAAAGGTAGCTTTACACGGCGGTTTTCCCAACTCTGCATGAAATAAAGCTTATGCTTTCACTATGACCAGCCACATGGGATAGGTATGGAATTTTCCACCTACAGTGCCATGCCGTACTCAAAGGTTTGGATTTCGGAGAATTTCGAATGTGGGGGGCTTAGAAATCCAACCTCCAGCACCGTCCTCCAGCTTCAGTGCCACTCACTGCTGGAGAAACGCGCTACTCGCTGCTGCACACAGATACACAGAGACAGCACGAGGGCCCATCCCACAGGACACTCTGCCTGCACAGGTCCAGCGCACCACAGGACACTCTGCCTGCACAGCTCCAGC